ACATGGTCATTTTTGTTTTGTAACATTGAATACAAAATTTATAAAAAAATAAATAAATAAATAAAAAAATCACGATCCCCGATTTTTTTTCTCCCGATTCCGATCTTTTGAAAATCACGTGATCGGCTCAGATCCCCGATCACGTGATCGGATCATCTCTAAATTTCAATCGTCACTTTTATTCAGAACAGAAAACCACACACTACGCACACAAGGTACAAGTATCTAAACAATCTGGACAGATAGATAGAAGAGAATATAATTGGAGGATGAAACCCTCTTTAATGGTCACATGTTCATGTTCTCTGCTTTTTACCCATCCTAGTACCAGGAGCAGTGACGGAAGGTGAGTTTGGAGTTTGTTTCAACTCAAACAAAGGTACCTAAATGTGCCTTTTAAAAGGTTACAGGTTAATAAGATAAATTGTGGATTTCCCATCAACCCTGAAAGAAAAGGCTCCATTTACCTGGCCGGGTTTTCCCACTGCGATGTTTTGAAGAGATGGGGCAAAATATAAATATATAAAAAATGATGCAGCCGTTGGTGAGGAAGAACATGTCGTTGCTATGGCGATTTACACAATGACAACATTTATTACATACAACTTCCTCGACAACTTCTGTAGTCCCATTCAGCCACTTGTTCACAACCATCGTTTTTCAGACACGGTGTTTAATGTCATGGAACAAAACGTGATCCGTCTCTTACATTTGTCTCAACCACAGACCTTATTTCCAGCTATTCTCCAAAAACTAGTTCAAATAACCGTTGACTCTGAGACGAGGGAAGGTTTTAGGACTTGCACCACTCTACACAGAGGTTGTTTGTGGAGAATCCTAAATGCACTTCTCCTACCTGAGGACGTTGATGCAGCCGTTGCCGTTGGTGAGGAAGAACATGTCGTTGTCATTGCTCCAGGAGATTTCGTTCACCTCGAACTTGAACTGCTCCTCGGCTCTGGAGCGGTGCGTCTTGGCGTCGATGAACGTCACCACGTCGTCTTTGTTCCCCACAGCGATCGTCTGACCGTCGGGGCTCCAGCAGATGTTGATGTTCTCTCCTGAAGAGCAAAAACAATATATGAGAATTTTAAAAGATCCCCTATTATACCGTTTGTCATCAGTACATTATAGGTGTCAGATATATCCAGAGCCTGTCTCTGATTGGCTGGAACACCAAACAGATCATTGCAGCATTACCCATAATCCCCTCTGTCTCAGCCCTGTTTCCAAAGTGCTGATTCTCTGTCTGTTACTTTAGATGAAAATAAGGAGCCCCTCCCCACGCCCCTCTGAGACAGATTTGGTTTGGGGGGAGAGGGGGGGGTTACCTTGGTTGCTGATTGGCTAATGGTTACACGAGACAAAACATCGTTATGACCAGGGGTGCACGTAACTTGTTTTCCCTGGTTCTCAAAGGAGCACCTGGAGATGTTGCTTTGTGCGCATCCTTAGAATGAAATAAACCGGACCTTTTGAGGGGTACTTGACTTTATGGACGGGGGGGGTGCGCTATAGAGCACGCAGCAGGGTTACTGTGCGGAGCGCATAAAGCAGACCCTTCACGCGATAGCGAGGGGTAGAGCGGGGGATCGCAGATGCCGTCGTGCTCGCGGACGGATTAAACCAATTAAACCTAAATGGCTTGCGAATTATAGGCTACTTAGGCGGCCGTTAATATACCTGGGCCGCCCAAGTAAAGTCTATGTGTGGGAAACCCTGCTATCTTACCAGTTCTTATGCAACTCACAAATATCACTCACTCTCTCTCTCTCTCTTCTCTCTTTTCTCTCTCCCAATGTTGGTGCGCAAATGCGCCTTTTTTCAAATGATCCGGTGCTCTTTTCTGGCGGGGGGTGCCCCCCAAATAAAGTCAGAATCTCTTGTTGATGTAGAAAAGACATGAAAAAGTGGATTTTGCATAATAGGAGACTTTAAAAGGATCTCTGGTCCCACCTTTAGTGTTGACGGTGGCGATGCATTTGGTGGTGCGGACGTCCCAGATGCGGATGGTCTTGTCTCCGGAGGCGGTGACGAACAGGTCGGGGTTGGTTGGATGCCAGCAGAGCTGATCCACGCTGTCCCCGTGGCCTCGGTAGTTATTCTCCTTCACCTGAGGACAGAGACACACTCTAATTCAACACAAATTCATACATTTCTGTACGCCAGGGGTGTCCAAACTTTTTTCCCCGAGGGCCACATAAAGAAGGGCTGGGCCCCTCACTAGAGTATATCGCCTCATAAGTTCAGTTATAAGTTAACAAAATCAATCAAATGCAGGTAAATGATGCTTGTGAGTGTTTGCAGCTCATTCCTTAAAACAGAAATAGGAAGGGTGTATTTCAAGCTTGCTATGTAAGTCATTGGGCTTTTTTCTTATCAACTTAGATATGTTAGAACATATTTAAAACTTTAATTGACTGAAAGTGGTCTTATTAACACATGAATACTACTGTGTAATATATGTTTACGGATATATTTAAGAAGTACAATACAAGACAAGCACAAGTTTCATCTTGTGGGCCATATTCCATTATACTTTTTTAATTTGCTGAGGGCCGATTCAAAATGTAGTTTGGACACCCCAGATACAGCACCAAAACAAGGCCATTCAAAGTGCGTTACAAAAATGTAAGATATTAAGAAACATATTATGAAATGGCATTTAAAAACAATCATTTAAAAGCAAAGATAATAAAACATGAATAACAAAGGTAAATGAATTAAAGTGACAGTGCAGCGTGAGATACACACATCTGAAAGGGTTAGCTCTGACTCTCAATCATTGCTAACTTTATAGCGGAAATAGTTTTCTTTGACCTCACTTTCTTTTTTAATTTGTCCTTTAGTTATTGCAAGTGTTAAACGAACCCCCCTTTGGAAAATTATAATCTGCAACCCAATATCCCAAAAATGCATCTGATCCTGGCCATATTTGGGTAGCATATAAAATGTATTTGCTCCAATACACAGGGAAGAATCAACAAGGCTGTGACATATATATCCGGTAGTAAACAAGGTAGCCTACTGTGTTTGGATTTACTACCCTAAATTATAAGTTTAAACTTAATTGTGATTCTCACCTGCACTTTGGAAAGAGCATCCATAACATTCATCTGTTTGCAACTCATATCAATATTCCAATTACTGTCGATAGACTATTCTGCACTGTTTCTATTATATTATATTTTATTGTATTTACCTGCACGATTTTATTTGTTTTATTGTGTTGCTCTGTTGCAGGAGCCTGTGACCTAAGATGTTCATTGTCATAACTACACTGTAGCCATGCACACATGACAATAAAAGCCTTGAAAGTTGAAACATGCACAGACAGATGCTAACGTTAGCATGTTAGCACGTTAGCACGTTAGCTCCTCGACTCACCAGCCGGTCCTTCTCCAGGATGAAAACGCTGGCAGTTTTATCGAAGGATCCGGAAGCAAGTCTCCTCCCGTCGCAGCTCCAGGCCACAGAGTGGACTTTAGCGGTGTGAGCCGGGAACTCTCGGCTCTTGTTGTTGTTCCTGAAGCTCTCCTGCATCTCCTGGTAGTACTTGGACGCCATGTTGAAACGGAATGGTTCTCCTTCTTCTTCTCTCGGTTATTGCCGGATTGCAAAATAACTTTAAGGCGCATACCGCCACCTACTGTACAAGAATATGCATCACCATGTCATCCTATCACTACTTGTGGAAGTATGGCCCAATTCCCTTTTAGTTTTAAACCTGATGTTTATAAGCTCCTTAGTTTTTGCAACAGTCTGTACATATACACAACTTTATAATAAAATGCACACATTTACCTTTTTCTAGACTAAACACTGTATGATCCTAAGTTAAAAAAAAAAATGAGGTTACTATGAGGTTGTTAACATGGCATTTTATCAGTGGATGTTTGCAGGAACTGTTTGTAAACAGCGTGGCTGCAGTCGAATAGTCCAAAAATCAGCTCCTATCGTCTATTCCTTGACCTCTGTGTGAAACGTCACAGGTTTAAGGAATAGTGGATAGGAGAATTGAAAAGGACTTAGGAGAAAAGACTGCTGTGCTTTGAGAATCCGAGGTTGCGGTCGGATAGTAAAAAAATCAGCTCCTATCGTCTATCCCTATCGTCTATTCCTTGACCTCTGTGTGAAACGTCATGGTGTTAAGGAATAGTGGATAGGATAATTTAAAAGGACTTAGGAGAAAAGACTGCTGTGCTTTGAGAATCCGACTGCACTTACAATATCCAACGTATTTATGATGCGCCAGCGGACGTCATAAATGTGCATCTGCTGTGAGGAAACTACAGTTTTCTAGCGGACTACATGGATGTATAATAAGAACGACGGACTATTTTAAACTCATCTAGAGACTCTGCACCGTGCTCTGATGCTGTTGTTTTATGATTTGTGAACGTGGACAACAGAGAAACATATTCTTCATGACCAAAGTTGGAATTTAAATAAAAAAGGAAAGTGAAACTTGTGCTTGTCACCCTCACCCTCCGGTCCACACGTATTAATCCACATGATCCCAATATGATTGTATGAAAATAAAAATAAGTACAGATGTATTTACTATAGTATAAAACGTGTTAGTCCTTAACATCTACCACTGTGTATATCACCATTAAAACATATTTTAAAACAAACCCCACACATCTCAGTAAACACTGTGAAATGTTGACTTTATTTGATCATTTCAGTAAAAAAAGTAAAGGTCATATTTCTCCTTTTGCTTATTATATTGATGAACGTTCAAAGCATAACCCCCATGGTGTCCAGGAGTGGGGTGGGGACGGTTAGCAGGCCAGCAGAGGAACACCAGCAGGAGAGGACTCTTTAAAGTACAGACACTACATACTGATATACACCTGAACATCAGCAGGAGAGGACTCTTTAAAGTAGAGACACTACATACTGATATACACCTGAACATCGGCAGGAGAGGACTCTTTAAAGTACAGACACTACATACTGATATACACCTGAACATCAGCAGGAGAGGACTCTTTAAAGTAGAGACACTACATACTGATATACACCTGAACATCAGCAGGAGAGGACTCTTTAAAGTAGAGACGCTACATACTGATATACACCTGAACCTCAGCAGGAGAGGACTCTTTAAAGTAGAGACACTACATACTGATATACACCTGAACATCAGCAGGAGAGGACTCTTTAAAGTAGAGACACTACATACTGATATACACCTGAACATCAGACGAGGAGAGGTACTACTTAAAGTAGAGACACTACTAGACGA